AGCCATATGTAAGATAAGATCATTCTGTGATTTTTTTTCCAATCCCTTTGCTTTTGCAGAACTGAAACACCACAGCAAATACATAAAGTGCTTCCTCTGTGCAAGGTAGGTTGTGTTTCTGTGCCATGTATTAACTAACTAAACCGTTGAGGAAAAGCTGTGAGGATGCAGGTATTATTGTTCCTATTTGGCAAGTGAGAACTGAGCATCAGAACCATTGAATAAAGTTGTCAAGATCTCCACATTCTTCAACTCACCCTTGTTCTCAAGACTCTCATTATCTTCACAGGCAATAGACATTCTGACCATTTTCTATTCTGGAAGCGGTGTCCTCTCAAGCCTGACTCTATTGGGAGCTGTCACCTTGAGATCTTCCTTTCTCATTTCCCCTTTCCTCATTGCATTTCCAATCCCCTTCCTGAGCCCTTCTCTCCTTCATTTGTACCTCAGAGAAAGTCTGCAGAGGTGATAAATTCTATGACAATCTGGATTCTGAAGATGCCTTTGCTTTACCTGCCCTTCATCTAGGCACTCAACATGGAATCCTACATCGCCGATCCTTTTTCTTCAGAATATTAAAGGAATTCCTTCAGTGTGCTCCAGTTTCTTGTGTGAAGGCTGGTGATACTTTGACTTTTTTCTTTTGTACATTTTTTTTCAAATACAAAAATTAACTGATGTTTATTCAGGATATATACTATGCCACACATACCCACCAAAGACATTTCCTTGGGCTAGAACTATAGTAGCAAATGTCCAAAAATGTGGTTAATAAGATCTGCTATTATGCTCTATTAGGAGATTCAAGACACTTTGTTATTATAGGTATTTACTTGTTGCTAAGTTTGATAGTTACTGACACAAGGAACCAGTTATGATAAATACACATTTCATTTCCTGATGTTATCGCACATTTTTATTAACACCAATTAGCTTTACAGAGGGTTTCATTTTGTCAGGTGTCCATATATGCATACAATATACTTTGATCCCTCATTCCTACTTCTTTCTAAACCAGTCTCAACAATCTCATGGTTCTGTTTTCACATGTATGCTTACAGCATTTTGACATTTTCACCTTACTTCCCCTTCTCCTTTGGCTCTCCTACCCTAAAAGGATCCCCATCCCAGACAGACAGGGCTTGCTTTACATTCCTGCCCTGCATTTTTAAAGCATATGTTAATTGTCAAAGGGGGCTTCCTTGGGGTACTTCACACAAGCACATGCAATACTTTAATCAGATTGTCCCTCTACTTACCCTCACTTTCTCCACTCCCCAGCTCTCTATTATTGAACAGCTTTTAGTGAGATTTTTATGCCATCTTTATTCAGAAATGCAATGTACTTTGGTATAGTTCACCACCTACCATTCTCCCCCCACTCTCATCCCTTCAAATAGCTTACAATTAAAAACACGTTTTGTGTGTGTATGTAATATGCATGTGTGTATATACATCTATATGTGTATTTATCACACACATACACATATATGCATTTCAGCCTTTGTCCTTCTGAACCTGGCTTACTTGGCTTAATTAATATGATGATCTTCAGTTCCATTCATTTTCCTTCAAAAACCATAATTCATTCTTCTTTATGGTTGAATCATGCACACTGGAGTGTGTTTGTATATGAAATTTTCTTGGTACATTTATCAGTTGTAGGGCATCTGGACTGTTTCCATAGCTTGACTATATGATTAGTGTTGTAATAAACATGGGTATGCAAATGTATCTATTGTAACCTCACTTAGATTTCTTTGGATATATGCCCAAATATGGGCAGGGAGCTGATTTCCATAGTGGTTGACTCGTCTACATTCTCTCTGACAGTGTATGAGGGATTTTTGTTGTTGCTGTTGTTTCATTTATTTGTTTTGTTTTTTGCCAGTCCTGGGGCTTGAACTCAGGTCCCTGAGCCTCTCTGTGCTCAAGGCTAATGCTCTACCACTTGAGCAACAATACCACTTTTGGCTTTTTCTTTTTTATGTGGTACTGAGGAATTGAACCCAGGGCTTCATGCATGCTAGGCAAGCATTCCCAGCTCTCAGTGTTTCTTTTCCTTACACCCTTACCAGCATTTGTTGTTTCCTATTCTTGATGATGGCCATTTTAACTAGAGTGGGTTAAAATTTCAATGTTGTTTTCATTTTCTTTATGGCCAGGGAGATTAAACATGTCTTCAAGTATTTAATAGCCATTTGTAGTTCTTCTTACAAGATTTGCCTGTTCAATTTATTTGACCATTTATTAATTGGGTTGTAGATTCTTTGGCAGTTTAGCTATTTGACCTCCCTGTATTTTCTGGTTATTAATCCCTTGTCAGGAATACAGTTGGCAATGATTTTTGTAAGCTGTCTCTTCAATCCAGTTGCTATTTTCTTTGTTGGGAAGAAACTTTTTGGTTTGATGCAGTTTCATTTGCAATCCTTGCTCCTATTTGTAATACCCCCAGCATTGTGCACCCCTCTTCCCCTGCCCAAGATTGCTTTGACTATTTGGAGTCTTTTTGCTTCCCTGTGAATTTCAGGATGGATTTTTCTATTTTGGTGAAGAATGACACTGGGATTTTGATGAGGATTGCATTGACTCTGACTATACTTCTTACATTCAAATTCTTTACTTAGTCTGGGGAAACCAAAACTAGAACAAGTCCTAAAGAATAATCAAAGAAAACATGTTCTTTTTTTAATTTTTATTTATTTTTTTATTGTGAAAATACTGTACAGAGGGGTTACAGTTAGATGAGCAAGATAATGAGTACATTTCTTATCAAGCATTGTAGCTCCTCCTTTGTTTACCCTTCCCATCCCTTCCCATCCTCCTCCTGCCCCCCCACCCATGCCTTCCCCCCCCCCAAAGTTGTAAGGTTCGTTTTTGACATGACAACTTGTACTTCTCATTGTTGCAACGGGTCCACCTGTATCCTTATTTAAACGACTTGTTTTTCCCCTTCCCCTCCACAAATTATACTGACATTAAATACAGTGAAAGCAGGGGTTATACTGTGGGGGAGGGACATACAAAGCAACAAAGAAATAATCTTATAAATGCTTTAGAAACAAATGCATGAAAGAAAAAAACATTTGAATACATGTCTTAGGGTTCATTTCCCTAACATTACCTTATCTGGCTTTTTCTGCTTGACTCAGACATATACTAGATATTGCAAATAAGGGAAACCATGGGACTTATGTTTTTTGGGGGCTTGGCTTACTTCACTTAATATAATTTTTTCCAAGTCTTTCCATTTCCTAACAAATGGGGCAATGTCATTCTTTCTGATGGAGGCATAGAATTCCATTGTGTATATATACCACATAGAAAACATGTTCTTACTCTAAATCTTGCAAAAGTAAAATGAACTTACAAGTTACACAAGAAGAGTGAGGGAAGGGATGACATTGTCCAAGTAGAAATGTACTCTTTACCTGACTTACATAACTGTAACTCTCTGTACATCACTTTTATACTAACAATTTTTTTAAAAAAAGTTTTGCATGGGTATCATTAATTACACCAAATACTAGAACAACCCAACATTTGGCCATCTGGGTGATTATCAAAGAGAACAATCTAAACTGTCTTACATAAAAATACCAGTAATACCAGTTTTGATAAATATTTTCAAGCCATTGCTGGGCTACTTCTTTTGTGTTAATTTAAAAAATACATTTATGTTTCATTTTGAACTCATCTCTATTTTCGTTTTTTCCTGTATAAAAATCTTCCCATTTCTCCCACCTCCTTCTTTCCTTACCATGCTTTCTTTGAACGAACATCTCTGCAAGCCACCCAGTGGAACCCTTGGCACTTGGTAAATGGTGAACAGTGTCAACCCTACATGTCTACCCCAGTCACATAAACCTCATCAGAGACTCCTTATCATTGAGTCTCACCCCCTAGGTAAACAAAGAAAAGCTAGGAGTCATGTGAATCCTCAATTTCTTGCCAAATAGAGGAGCTGCTTGTATCAGTACAACAATGGGAGTTTTACATAAGGAATACTGCTAGGACACTGGGCTGTTCACGAGCCTTCTTTTCTCCCCCAACATGAACACTCTCTCCTTCAGCACAGTAAATGAAAGTTATGGAACAGAGGGGCTGGGAAGGTGGCTCAGTGGTAGAGCGCTTGCCTTGCATGCATGAGTTCACAGGCTGGGTTCGATTCCTCAGCACCACATAAACGAAAAACAAACAAAAAACAACAACAACAAAAAAACCCAGAAGTGGCACTGTGGCTCAAGAGGTAGAGCACTTGCATTGAGCTGAAGACCTGAGGGACAGCGCCCAGGCCCAGAGTTCAAGTCCCATGACTGACAAAAAAAAAAAAAAAAGGAAGTTATAGAACAGAAAAAAAGCTGAGAGCAGTCAAGGGCAGTGGGCTCTGTGGCTATGAAGGAGCATCTGTATTAGTGCCTGTTAAGATCTGGATGCTAGTCACAAGCTATGTGAGTTAAGGCAATTAATTATTTAGGATTCTTCACCTCAGTCACTTTAGGAAAACGGGAAATGATTAGAAAAACCACTGATATTTGAAAATGTTCTTTGGGATTGGGAGTATAGTTCAGTGGTAGAGTGCTTGCCTTATATTCATGAGTTTCTGGGTTCATGTGTAGCACTGTAAAAAAGAAAAGGATTCAGCAGTGATACTCACTAGATACTATGTTGCAAATGAACTATACAACTTGTGAGGGGGGATGGGAGGGAAAACCTGGGGGAGAGCAAGGGAAGGGGTGACATGGTCCAACAAGAATGTGCTCATTATTTGACTCATGTAACCGTAACCTCTCGGTATAACATGTTTAAAATAATACACATAAATATTTGTCCAAATTAATTCAGTGGTAGGCCAAGAATAAGCCTTGCATGATTTAATAAAAAAGGAAAGGATTCCTGGGGGAGGATAAATAAATATGTTTAGTAAATAATTACTAAGTAAAGACTTATTCTTGACAGGTGGTGAGCCCATATGGGCGCCGGCACAGCGCAGGGCTGCCATGGCAGAGGTGCAGCAGCTCCGGGTGCAGGAGGCAGTGGATTCCACGGTGAAGAGTGTGGAGAGAGAGAACATCCAGAAGATGCAGGGCCTCATGTTCCAGTGCAGTGCCACCTGCTGTGAAGATAACCAGGTGTCCATGCAACAGGTGCACCAGTGCATCGAGCGCTGCCATGTACCTCTGGCTCAAGCACAGGCCTTGACCAGTGAGTTGGAAAAGTTCCAAGACTCCCTGGCCCCATGCACCATGCATTGTAATGACAAAGCCAAAGATTCAATAGATGCAGGGAATAAGGAGCTTCAGGTGAAATGGCAGCTGGACATTTGTGTGACCAAGTGTGTGGATGACCACATGCACCTCATCCCAAGAAGATGAAGGAGTCTCTCTCATCCATTGGAAAATAAAAGTCTTTGCTAGTGACCATGAGGCTTGGGGCAGGGAATCTATTTAATAAGAGAAATGGGAATTTTAGTCTTTTAAGCAAAGTTTAAAATGAGGAAACTACAGATGGCAACAATTTTAAGGCATATTTCACTTGCCTGTGGACCCTGGTTCTTTTGTGTTTTAATTATAGAAAGTGAAATGGAAAACACTGGTGCTAAAATTTCAGTCATGATAGCGTGGGAGAGTGTTCTAGAGCCTAAATTTCATGTGGCAAGTGCTTTTCTTGGCAATAGAGATCTCCTATGTACCAAGCCGGAGATCCTCCTACACAAGATACAACAGGTTGGCATGTTCCTATAACCCAACTCTAATCTGGTGAAGTTTGAGGAGGGTATGTCTATTGCCAACTCCTGTTTACTATAAGTATCAGAATACCAATTTCCATGAGTTGTAAAGCAAATTCCAGTAGATCACTAATTTAGAAGGGGAAAATATGCTTCTGGATCTTTAGTTTTGCTTGGTTTTGTTTTATGTACAAGATCATGAGATAGATTTAAGATACCGACTTGGAAGAAACAGTAGTTTGAATGGGAACTTGAATGGTTCCTTTGGCCATTAAGATATAAATTTGAAAGTCTGACATTGCATTTTTCAGCCTGGAGACCATTGCAAAATCATAAACATCAGTGTCACACTTGAGGGTGAAAAGCAGAGCTTCCTCCACTAGCTAATAAGCCCTGAGGCTTTTTGTAGCAGACTGATGGGATGGTCTTGACAGTAATACTTCCCATTGCAAGGAAAAGGGATACATAAATACAGCATTCAGTAATAAACACTAAAGTAGGAACTATTGTCTAGTTGAGAGAATTGTAACATACTGGAACCTAAAAGCCCTCGACTTTGTAGAACAGAATGGAATACAAGCCTAAACCCAGCATTATTTACTTAGCCCCTGAATTAAGAGCCTAATTGATATCATCCTGTGGGCACAAGAAAGTCAAAAATTAAGCAACTTGAGCTAAGAAAAGCTGCAACAACCTAATAGCAAAGAACATAGACACAGACTCATTACCAAATACCAGTTTGCTCAGAGTCTTTACCACATGTGGTGTTCCTGCCCTAGCAAACTATGGCAACTTTTCAGTGGGGACCATGTTACTTTTTTTTTTTTTTTTTACCAACTTGTTACTTGAAATTATAATATAGCCTGTTTATTGCGACAAGACTATGATATATATTTTCCTAGTGGTATGATTTTAAAATGACCTTATGTTGTTTTCCCACTATCTAGATGATGACTATTTAACTTTCCCAATATGCTTCTTGTTATATGTGAAATAAACTTCCTATGATATCCAAAAAAAAGACTTATTCTTGCTGTTATTTGTTAGACAACAGCATGAGACAATCGTAATCTCACCGCTGTTTGAGTGGCCTACTCTGAACCAGGGAAACAGTCAATCTAAAGCAACCATACATTTTAATTAAATGCAATTCTCATCTCTGTTAAGACGATGGCTTGCATACTTCTTACTGCATGTCAGACATGGTATTAAGCTCTCTCCTTCATCATTTCACTTACTTTTAAATATAGATCTGTGAAATATTGGTCCTGATTTACAGGTGAGAATGATGACAGTCAGAGAGGAGCAGTGTCTTTTATAAAAGCTGCGGTGAATATGTGGCAGAGTCAAAATTAAAACCCAGATCTATCTTTCTGGACGGATTGCACACTGTGGCAGCTGTAACTGAAGCTGGTGATTCTGGGACCAGAGTGTGTATGCCAGAGAGGGTAGTGGAAGGAGACTGAGGATGGTATTTGCCAGAAGCAGCCAGAAAAGCCGATCTCCACACTTCGAAAGAGGGAAGCAGAGTTTGGCCAAGGTCTTGGGCAGGTACAGGATGGGTCAACTTTTTCGATATATTCTGCTGAGGGGGAAATTTATCATGAAACACTCAGCCTCCAGTAACTGTAGGCTCAACGGAAAGTGGCCAGAAAAGAAGGGAGTCTAGTATATCATTTCTCACAGAGGCCAGAAAGGGAGTGGTGCCAGGATTCATTCAACCACTGGACTCAGTCATCAATGACTCAGTTGTTTTACAACTTTCTCCTGCCCTCTCCCAGAGCATCTAGCAAGTTCTCTCTTCCTGCCAAGTTGCATGATGGTTCCAGCAGATTTTAGTATTTCATGTACAGTAACCACACCCAGCCACGAATAAAGGCATTTCCTCTCATGTACATATGTCCTCTTGTTATAGAGACAGATCTTTCCAGAAGCCATGAAAGGATCCCCTTAGAGAGTTAGGACTGGGATTGTAACCTTGCCCAAATACCCCACAACAATGGAAAGGGATTAGTTCTTCCTCCATGTCTGTAAGGACTGCTTCTAAAACTTTCTCAGATGCCAAAATCCATGAACACTCAGACCTTTGCAGAAAATGACAGTATTTTGTGTGACCTATATACATCCTGTCATATAAATTCCCTCTAGATTACTTATGATACAAATACAATGCAAGTGATATGGATAATTATTGTTGTATTGTATGGTTTAAAGAATAATGACAAGAACAAATAGTCTGGATGCATTCAGTACAGAAGCAATTTTTTTCTGAACATTGTCCATCTGCAACTGATAATATTGCAGATGATTGTATCGCCAGTGAGTTCAGAGCCCATGATTCCATAGGCCTTATGATGCTACGGTTAGCTTAGACTAAACAATACTGACCTACTGGATCAGATTCTTTCCCTGACTACTTGGTGTGTATACTTGGTGCGGGGCAGGTAAGATCCTAGGCAAAAATCACGACTCTCCTAACAAGGAAGAGGTATGTGTGCACATACATTATGCAACCATGACGCAACTATGAGTTCTTGCAGACACAAACAAGAGGGCTGCTTGTAATGCCTGCCGTGGAAGCAGGAAGAGGAGGTTTTCACAGAAGTACGCAAACAAAGGTTAATCTGCATCAAACCCTCCAGACCAGAAATCTTTGTGCCCTAAGTATTTTCATTTGTTGTCAGTCCCTGTGGTCTGGAACCTACCACCTCCTCTGCCTGGTCTAAATCAGTCCTGGCTTCAGATCTACCTACACTGTAATCTCTGTTACCAGCCCCTTTAGTCATCAGGTTTTCTAGACACTTCTGTCTCCAACTGTTTTAATCATGAAGAGTTCTGCTTTTTTTTCTCTTTTGTGAGAAATACCTATTGACACCCTGAAACCAGCTTAGGAAATACTAATGTCAACAAATTATTCAGCCATGAATTATTATTTAAAGGAAACACATAACCACAAAGACCATTTCAGGGAAAGAGTATTTCCTCTTAAATGTTCCTGGGCTTTTAGTTCCCACCCAAAAAGCTGTTCTCTGTCTTCCATTAGACATTAGAAAAATAGATCACTTTGTGCTGCTTCCCAAGGATATTCCTGTGGCCATCTCAGGCTGTCCCTGGCCGGCACCCACCATGATGGAGTCCATCCTTGCTTCTTTGAATGGGAGTGGGGGTGGTGGGAGCAGCCTAATACTAAACAGGACCACTCTCATCCTGAAAGGAGTGGTGGCAGGGAGCCCAGGATTAAAGACATACATAAGCTGCAGGTTTTCAGGGATCTGCCAGCAGCCCTCTAAAACAGGAAGAGGATACTTAGACCTGTCCTGCTAACTCACAGCCTGGGTCTTATGCTCATGCTTTGGGCTGAGCCTCCCTGGCTGCTGAGCCCCAGTCCTGGGACCGACTCCAAGGGCACAAGCTAAGACACTGCCGGAGATACCAGGGAGCAGGGAGAGGTGATCCCAAGATAACCTCTCCATCTGCAGGAGCAGAAGGGCTGATAAATGTCATGGCGCTCTGTGGAGATGGAACATCAGATGCCATTAGGCTCTCAGGAGAACTTAAAACAAACAAAGAGAAAATGAAAGAGCTTTAGGATAATAGATCAGATCAGGGCTGCCACTCGGGTGGAGTTGGGGAGCTTGAGTTTTGGGGCCCATCCTTAGCTGGGGCTTAGAAGTACACTGTTCATATGTTGAAGGAGCTGGAACAATTCTTTATGCTGCATTCAAACAAGGCATGTTTCTCAAGTCTGAGAGATTTAACTGTAAGGGAATAACCATCATGGATGTATACAACAAATGCAGCCAACAGAATCTTCATGGATAAACAAATGATTAACCATCAGAGCTCAACTGATGGTCTGGACATGTCTTTTAATATTTAATCTTGATGGATGGAGTTTGATGAGAGTCAAGCCTAGGGAATAGAATTGGAGATTTATGATTCAGTAAAGAAATATTCATTTAAGCACTCTGTGCTCAAAGACAGACAGCATTTTTTTTTAATTGGAGACTCTCATGGGCTTTCCTACCTGGGATGACTTGGGACTGCGTTCCTCAGATCTCAATCTCCTGAGTAGCTAGTATTACAGGTATGAGCTACCAGTACCCAGTTGAATGGTTAATGAATTTTTAACAGCATTATTCAGATATAACCAAAGCTCAGTAAACTGTGCACAAAATAGTCCTTCGATAGATGTTGACATATCTGTACAATTCAGTGAGTATATCTGCCCACATCCAGCTGAATATTTTAGTAATTATCACAAGAGCTTCCTTCACTGGGGGCATTTGACTGGCTAGAACTGTGTTTTCTCTTTATTGTTCCTACACAGAATTCCAATGAATAGTGCCAACACTATTCCCATTTCACAAAGAGGAAAATCATGCCCAAGAGAGGCCAGTCATTTGCCATGTCAAACCATGGCATACTTCAAATGAATATTGTCTAAGACCTTTAGTAAGCTTTTTCCAAGGGAAGGGATTAGCCTGAAACCACAGTCATGACCATGGACCATCCAGTGAACTCAGGATGCCTCAATGAGCTTTCAAAGGGAAAGACCACATCAATCTATATTCCCAACAACGTGCAAGGATTCCCTTTTCTCCACATGCCCTTTCCTGAAAGTACTTGCTTTCCTCTGCCTTTCTG